GGAGGAGGAGGAGGAGGAGGAGGATGGTGATGAGGACGAGGGGTATGGGAAGGGGTATGGGAATACGGAGGAGGATAATGAGGAGGGGTAGGGGAGGATGAGTGGCAGTGGGAGCTGGGGATGAAAAGGACGGGGAGGGGATGAGTTGTTACTTGTGAGTCTCTCCAGTAGGGAACAGTTGTCTTGCTCTTGAAGATGACATTCGAGTTTGCTGTCGTGTAAAGATATCATCATCATCATCATCATCATACGTGATGTCATCATCATCATCATCATCATCATCATCATCATCATCATCATGTTATTCTCGATCATCGTGTCTAGAGGAAAGACAAGATTGATATTTCACCGCATCATCCGGAGAGCTTGCTGATAGCATCTTTTTCTTTTGACTTGAGCTGACATTGTAAATGAGAAAGTGAAACATTCAGACTAGAACTCAACAAATCTCTGCCTGCCTGCCTGCCTGCCTGCCTGCCTGCCTGCCTGCCATCCATCACCGTTCCTCCCTCTCTGCCTGTCTCTGTCCCTCCTCTTTTCGACATCACCTCTGGTTGTATGCTTGTTGAGGTGTTGCATGTGAGGAGGTCAGAGGTGAAGTGTCAGGTGTCAAGACTGCAGCCATGAAACATGTCAGCGAAAAGAAACAAGAACAGAAACAAGAACAGAAACATGAGCGACAAGACAGAGAGTACTTCAGCCTGAGTGAAGAATATCTGGTACCAATCACTTCTCACAAGTCATGCTATCGCGTACAACTCAACTTCTATCCACATCGCATCCACTACCATGGCTCGCGCATCTAACAAACATCCTTGCCTTCCCTCACCTGTGCTGTTTTCCACGTCCTCTTGGCTGATCCCAAGGACTGCCATGTAGCTGTCGAGCACACTGTGCCTGTGCAGACGGGAGGAGGAAGGAAGGCACGGAGCAGATGGGTAGAGAGGAGAGAGAACGGAAAACGACAAGGAGGGAAGTATAGCAGGTAAAAAGAAAGAGGGGAGAAGAATTAAAGAGAGGCAAGGATTCAAGATAAAGATTCAAGACAAGTAGTCAGATGGTTGTTGTCAATCCCTCCATGCTGTTCCCACAACTTCTCAAAGCTCACTGATACTCAAGAACCCATGATCCTTCCTTGTTGCTATCGATCTTCATGTCCTCAATACTTACAGCTACACTCCCTCCGTCCCTCTCTGTATCCCTTCCCTGTATCATCACTCCTCCTCCTCCTCCTCCTCCTCCTCCTCCTCCTTGCAAGCATGCCAGTACATTGATTCGTCGCTCTCCGCCATAGCGCCCGAAATTTTTGATCTATTGTTGAAAACATAAATTCTAACATATTCTATTGAAAAGTTCTCAGTGACACTCAATAAATTATGAAACTCTCGCAAAGATCCCAGCAATAAACTATTAACATTACCACAGATCTTTTTGAAAGGATCCGGCGGGTCCGGACTCTGGTCCGACGGTGCCGGTCAGTGAAGGCCCGGGCAGTAATGCCGGGGCCGAACTTGCTTCGTCGGAAGGCACGGCCTAACGGGCCGGAGGCTGGAGCTACCGATCTTGCGGGCAGCGGGCCGCGGCAGGGTACTACGCCGGGCGGGCCGACTCGGAGCTCCGGGCCCGAGACTCAACTCACTTGACTCTTGAAGCCAAGTTGTCATGATGGGCCCGAGACATCAATACGCTTCCGGGCAGTTTAACCGTTTAACGGTCGAAGTCACACTTGAGTCAGTGACTGCTATGGTGAGGGAGGGAGGGAGGGAGGGAGGGAGGGGAGGGGAGGCCTGAGGGAGGGAGGACTCAGTCCGAAGTTCGTTGGCGGCATAGGGTCCCTCACATGATCTCAGTCGCACTCCGGCGAGGCTGCTGAGCCAGTGCCGAAGCTCCCGATCAAGCAAACGGCTCCGCTTGCAACGACATGGGCGGGGGACATCGACACCTTCACCTCTCCTCAGGTCTGCTACGAGTGACTCCCGGGCCTGACCCTCTGCTGTCGGTCATGCTGATCGCCTTCATGGCAGACGAACTTTTGGTGCCCCTCGTGCTGCCACCTGTACGCCCTGAGGCAGTCGGACGCGGAGAAGGAGAAGGCGCATGGCTCCCCCGGCACTCTTGTAAGTCGCTGAGAGACAATGAAGGAGCCACGTGCTGTTCTCACTGCCGTGAGAAATTGGACAAGTTGAGATGTTGTTTGCAAGCCTTTCAGCCTGTTTGTGTTCTTGTCTTCACTCGTTCTACGATGTCTGCGTTTCTAACATTCAAGCTGTCCACTTTGCCTTGCGCATTTTTGCAAGGAAACTATTCCTCCCTTGTGTTGTCTTGTGTTGTGTCATCTCCTCTCCTCTCCTCTCCTCTCCTTTCCTCTCCTCTCCTCTCCTCTGTTTCCACCCTCTCCTTTGACTCGGCTCCCTCGCAGGATCTACTGGCTTACAGCGGCTCTCTTCATCCTCAGAGGATGCTCTTTGTGCAGGTGCGTCTCCTGCTGGGGTTGGAGGGTCCTAACGGCACCTCTCAGGGGCGGAAGGAGTTCTACAGGGAGCACGTGGCAGTGTGTAAAGTTCTAATGCATCAGGAGCTCGAGGTTGTTGAGGGGATGGTGTTTGAAGGAGGAGGAGGAGGAGGAGGAGGAGGAGGGAGGGAGGGAGGTAGGAGGAAGGAGGTAGGAGGGAGGGAGGGAGGTAGGAGAAGGAGGAGGAGGGAGGTAGGAGAAGGAGGAGGAGGGAGGAGGAGAGAGAGGAGGAGGAGGGAGGAGGAGGAGAGGAGGAGGAGGAGGAGGAGGAGGAGGAGGAGGAGGAGGAGGAGGAGGAGGAGGAGGAGGAGGAGGGAGCAGAGATAGCAAGAGGAACGGAAGGAGGAAGGAGAGGGAGGGAGAGGGAGATTGAGTCTAATGATGGTTTGACAGGGCGATGGAGAGGAAGAGGCAGGAGGA